TGTGTGTGTGTGTGTGTGTGTGTGTGTGTGTGTGTGTGTGTGTGTGTTTGGGGGGCAGGGAGGGGATGAAAGTTGTTTTCAGTTCGGTAGCAAGAATCATTCGACTGGCTTCCAATGGTGGACTACAACTTGCAACAAGGGCTCAAGTTTGTAATATAATGGTTATGGAATTTAAGATTCCTTTCCCCTATTATTTGAAACAGACTGTAGCTGGAAGGGTCTCTTTCTCCAGCACCCATCCGTACAAGGATGCCATTTCTAAAAGACTCTGAACCTGATAGAAGCTACGGGCAGTCAAGCAACCAGTCTTTGCCCTAGCCGGGCTCCCTTACGGCGGTTAAAGCCTGAGTTGGGACCGGCAGGCCCGGGAAAGCGGAGGAAGCTTCCAGGCGCGGTTCCCTGCGTGGCCAGGCTCCACAGAGCCTGGCTGGGCCTCAGCCCAGGTCCCAGCCTCAGGTGCCCAGTGAGGCCAGCGAAGGCCTCCTTGCCCTCGGTGTGGGCACACAAAAACGCCGGGAATGCCCCCTAATCGGATCTCTTAGGCTGTGGTTGCCGACCCGCGAAGTAAGAACGCAAGGCCGCCGCCATCCGGTCGTGATCATAACCGAGGCCTTGTCTGTGCAGCGGCACACCAGGCCCAGATCCACAGCCCTCGACAGCTGTCCCACGCGAGCCCTTCCTTGGCAGATTCCGACCACAACTTGAGCACGCATCAAAAAATAAGACCCCCGCCCCAGGCTCTCCCCAAGCTAGCCCTGCCTCCCAGAGGAAGAGATGGGAGGACAGGAAGTGGAGATAGAAAACTGGGCACAGAGAGACTGAAGATGAAAGAAATGAAGGGAAGGAAAGAAAGAAGGAAGAAGTAAAGAGAAAGAGAAAGAAGAAAAGAGAGGAAGAAAGGAGGGAAGAAAAGAGTCAAAGGCGACTCCTGGGAGCAGACGGCGGCTTACAGAGAGAAGGGTAAGTGACAAGGCCAGGATCCTAGCCCCTTTCCGCCCTGTCCCTCCTAGTTTGGCCTGAGTCTCTCTCAGAGGGATCTTTCCTGGTCTCCTACCCTGGATTGGGGCTGGTAGCGTTCCAGCCTTGCAGGAGAATGGCCTGGAGTGGGGGGAGGCCCAGGATGGAAGCGTGCGCCCCTGACCTTGAATGGCTCAGGGCCCAGAATTCCTACCACGCCCCCGGCGTCCGCCAAGGAGCAGCTAACCTGACCATACCTGCTCGGGGCCAGGTGGGGATGGGAATTGAGGCCAACAGCCTGGCTAAGCGCTGGGAAGGAGGCAGGGACGAGGCTCCTGAGTGGGAAAAGCCGAGGTTGCCGCCGCAGGCCTGGCACGACCAGGGCCCGGATGCCCCGCCTGGCCCGGCCCCCGCGCGCACAGGTACCTGGAGACGATTTCAACTGAAGTAATGAAGGCAGTGTCGTGCTGTCGAGAGAAAGGTGGATCCCAACAACAGGAAACTACCTAAATCACCGACCAGTTCTGGTGCTGCCCGCGCGGGGCTGCCTCGCCCGCCGCCGCCGCCGCCGCCGCCGCCGCCGCCGCCGCCGCCACCGCCGCAGCCAAGGGAGAACCCTGCGACCGCGCCCGGCCCGGCCCCTTGCCAACCTGCGCCCGCGCTGCCACTGTGTGTCCCGCGCTGCCACTAAGGCCTCACCGAGGGAGAAGCACTGGCCCCGGTAAGCTAAACCTGGGAGAGAGGGGGGAGGAAGGTAAAGGAGAGAGAGGAAAATGGAAGGAGAAGGAGAAGCGAGAAGAAAGGAGAGCGAGCAGTGTGCGTGCTGGTTCCCAAATCTTGCTTCTCAGCGAGCTGGCGCCAAGCGGCGGCAGCCCTGGGCGACTCGAAAGCGCCAGGGACGTCACCGAGCCCGGCTCCCTGCCTGGTCTCGGCCTCCGGCGCTCGCTCCCCACGGCTCGCTCTCCCCCTCTCTCCCTCCCAGACAGCCAGCCAGCCGGGGCGCGCGCTCCCGCGCCCCCTCCCCCTGCCGTCGGCCCCCCCCACCTCCCGCGAGCAGGAAACGCGTGGCCCCGCGGAGGGCGACCAGGTGGGGGAGGCCGTGCCGGGGGAGGGGGGGCTTGCAGCCGGCAGCAGGCTACCTAGCTGCTGCTGCGGATGCTAGGGACGCGCTCTAGGCCCAGCCTGCTCCCCGGATTCCTAGGCTGGGGGTCATCTAAGACCAGGGGACCCACAAAACAACCGGCGTCTGCGAGCCTCCCTGGGGCTCCCGAAAGAAATCCTGTTTGGCTTCCTCTGTCTACGCAGCTCCCCTCTCAACTGAAACCACTGGTCCAGGACAGCCACAATCCAGATATACTAGCAAGTCATAAAACTGAACAAAAGCCGACAAACCTTACGGCACCAGGGCTATAGGGCCCAGACAAATTACGACCGTCTAGGTAATATTTAAATAGATGCCTAAAGTAATTGCAGGGGGCGCGGGCTAGTCCTCCTGTTGTAAAAGTGGTGAACGGGATAAAGTGGAAGGTGAAGATAAGAAGTCAAAAAAAGAGGTAAAATTAAAAAGCTTCATTCCACAGCTTTTATTCTTCTATAAGAACATAAACATCGTCTTTTTTCCACGCACAGCAGCATTACAATATTAATTTATTCTGATTTAAGATTAGAAGTAAATAGAGCTAGAACTAACATTTATAATAACGATAGAATGCATTTGCATAAAACAAGATTGGCAATTTTTCATAATAATAAACATTTATACAGATTTGTATTTATAATTTTTCTTTTTCTGCACCTACAGGTTTGACCCTTTTATGCATGTAACTTCACAGTATAAAGGAAACCCAAACAATGTCTCCCTTCTCTAGTCTATTCTGCTTGCCCAGCCCTCCTCGGATTCTGTGAATTTTAGAAAAGAAAAAAGAAAAGAGGAAGAAGAAAAAAGAAAATGAGAAAGAAAACTCTCCACAAGATAGGGAGAATTGTGGTGTGCTTGTCACGTTACCAGTGGTAACAATTATTTGATGACCAAAAACCCCCACTAAATCCGCACGCATAAACAAAACTATATTAGATTATTTATCTACAGCCAGAAGGATATGGAAATTCAGAGGTAAGTGAAATAATTTAGTCCCACAATGCAAGACCTCACACAAACTGGAAGAGAAGTTTCCTTCTCCTTGTCATTCTTTTTTTTCCCCCCCTTTTAAAGCTGGGATATCTTACAGAGGAAGGAAAGATTAATCTTTCTGACTCTCAATTTTCTAATCAGCCAAAGCCAAGCCCTTTCGCCAGCCTGCATGTCCATGCTTGTAAGCCCTTCTCTTTGCCAAGGAAGAAAGAAAGAAAGAAAAAAGAAACCCAGGGGCCTGTGTCCCCTGATTAAACACAGCCCAGCACTCCAGGCAGGCGAGCCCGGTGGCGGCTCCTTGCACCATTGACCTCAGGCCAGACACCTCAGCGCCTACAATGGGACCTCGGCCTTCCGGCTAGGTTTGCCCACCCCCCGCAGGAAACCAGCTCCACCAGGAGGACAGGAGCCATTTCCAGCAGAGGAACCCCGAGACAGCAAACCAGCCCAGTCACCACTCAACACTTGAGGATAATATTTATCTCTATAGAAATTTAGCACGATATGGCTTTTTCCCCCAGAAAACAAGTAAACCAGCACCAAGCAAACAGACAAAGAAACAAAAAGTCAGAACAAACCAGCCCTGCACAGATGTAACGGCCAGCGAGATGGCGAGTGTGGGAGGGAGGATTGGGGCTCCGGCACAGGTGCGAGTTCCTGGGCAGAGGCCGAAGACTGAGGGAGGAGGACGGCTCTCTGGCAGCGAAAAAACGGCATTGCCTGGAGCTTCATCAGGAAAAATTAAAATTGGCTGTGAGCTCCCGGATTCGGTTTTCTCGGTTCATTTTCTTCAGTTTCATCCTGCGATTCTGAAACCAGATTTTAACTTGTCTGTCCGTGAGGTGGACGCTGCGGCTGATCTCTAGGCGCCGCTCTCGAGTAAGGTACATGTTGAACAGAAACTCCTTCTCCAGCTCCAGCGTCTGGTGCTTGGTGTAGGGGCAGCGCTTCTTCCTGCCGCTCTTTGCCGTGAGCCAGTTGGCTGCGTTTTCGCCTTTGGAATTGCCTAGCATTTAAGAGAATAAAGAAGGGAAGGTTAAATAGGGGCCACACTAGGCTGTGCGCAGGGGTGAATTTGGGACTTCTCTGCAATAAGAGGGATGCCCTAAGTCACACAGAGAGTTTTACACACACACCCCCTTTAGCTTGCTCAGGAAGAGCAGTTCCTCCAAAGGGCATGTGCAAAATGGAGAGGGCCTCCAATCTACACCTACCTTCCTGATTTACATTTTCCTCCACTTTTCCCCAAACACCTGTTTTAGCACAAAGCTGTCGGGTGCTCACAGACAGAACGGCCTGGGAGGGCAGGCTGTGTATCTTGAACTTAACGCCTTTCTTTGCTTCTTGCCCCAAGGCAGACAAGGATTTCCTGCCGCCCCCAGGCGGGAGGCATGGGTGCTCACTTGGAAGGGAGGCGGGCAGCATGGCTTCGTCCCATTCCCGTCCCCTGATTGCCTAAGGCCCAATGAGGAGAGTAACGAGGACACCGTTGGGCCACGGGGAAGGCACGAAAAACTGAGTCGGGGTCAAGGGCCGTCCCTCACGTCTTTCCAGGAGCCAGGGACGGGCAGTCTGGGCGATTCCGAGTTCCAGGAGAAGCGAAATGGCCCTTTTCTGACTCTAAGCTCAGGGCTCCCGCGACCCAGCCGGATTTGCCTTTTCTTCTCCCCGCAAGGAGGATTCCCGCCCCTCCAGCAACTTTGAAAAAAGCATGGGGGATCGTAAACTCGAACTTCGCCGGTTAATGGGCTTATTTATTGGTGCTGGCGGCTGCTTATTTTGGATGCCTTACAAACATACGCGCTATCTGCGGGCGAGCCACTTTCCTCCCTCCCCCTCCCCCCGCGTGGGCCGCGCCTCGCAGGCTGGGCCCAGACCACGGCTTAGGGTGCTCCGGGCCACGGAGAAGGGCATGCACAAGAGGGGGGTTGCTCGTCCATGCCCTCGTCCCCAATGGGGGGTGAGCTGAGGCCAGCGCGGCGGACGTCTTGGTGTGGGGCGCTAAGCCGGACATGAATTTTTACTGCGTCCCCACGCCCAAATATTAAAAAGCAAGTTCACAAGGTCAGCCTGCCTGCAGCTTGGGCCAAGGCCGGCCGGCTGCTGCGCGCACTCCTGGCTCTCTGCTCTTTCCCTTCTCTGGGTCGGCCTGTCTGCCCGCCTGATTGCGGCCCTTCGGCGCGCCCGGCTTACCCAGGGAGTCCTTCTCGGGCGAGGCTTTGCTGCTCTCGGAAGGGGCCGGGGAGAGCTCCTCTGCGGCCGAGGACGACGCGTGCGCCTCCTCGTCGCCCTGTGAGCCCCCGCCGCCGCCGCCACCACCGCAAGTCAGCGTAGGGGGCGGCGGTGAATCGAGGGCTCGCTCTTTCCGGGCTGCATCCGCTGAGCCGGAGGCGAGGGCGGGTGGCGGGTCGAAGCCGCGCCCGGGGGGCTGAGCGGGGAACGGGCCGGCGCCGAGCTGTTGCGCGCCGCCGCTGCTGCCGTAACCCTTGGCGGTGCCATAGGCCTGGGAGAGGCGGAAGTAGCCAGGCACTGGCACCCCGCTGGAGGTGCTCAGGGAGCAGCCGTCGGGCGGCGGGCCCCGCGGGAAGGGAGCCAGCTCGGCTGTGGCGGTGGAGCCTTTGGGGCATTTGTCTGCCGAGTCGTAGAGGCAGTAGGAGCTCTCCTCTTTGATGTTCTGCGCGAAAGAGCACGAGGTGGCCTGCGGCGGGGGTTGGGGTGGTTGCGGCGGGGGCGGTGGCTGCTGCTGGGGCGGTGGCGGCGGCCCCTCGGGCGGCTCCATCCGACACGACCGGGGCGCGTCCAGCCACAGGTCTATAGGCGCGGGCGCGTAGCCGTGCGCCCCGGGACCCAGGCCCCCGCTGCTGCCGCCGCCGCCCGGCGACGCCGCCTCATTGCGCTTGCCTCCCAGAGCCGGGAAGAGCCCGCAGCTCTGCAGCCCGTAGGGCAGGTCGGCGGCCGGAGGCAGGTATACCCCGCCGTGGGCGTAGTAGCCGCCGCCGCCGCCACCGCCCCCCGCGCCGCTGCCACCACCGCCAGCCTCGCCTCTGCCCGAGCTGATGAGCGAGTCGACCAAAAAAGAGTTCGCGGCGGGGCTCTCCGAGCATGACATTGTTGTGGGATAATTTGGCGAAGGGAGCAGATAGCCCTTTCTGGCTGACATTTCTTGTGCAAAACATGCTGAATACGATTAGCAATCCCCCCGCACCGCGGCGGGTGCCCGCAGCCAATCCTGAGCCAGAGTTTCCGCGCGACCACTCCCAGTTTGGTTTCGTAGGCGCGGGGCCGCTCTCTGAGGGCGCCCTCTGAGCCCACGATTGATATAAATATGTAATCTGTATTGATGGGCCCGGAGACGAACACCCGATACCTCAGCCCAAAGGCCAGGAGCTGTGGGGGCTGCCTCAACGTGGCTAGTGGGGGGCCTGGCCCCTGTGCTAGCCCCGCCCACGCTCGGACGTGAGCCCTCATGCCCGGTCTGTTTGAAGGGCCCTTGGGCCCCCGCGCAGTTAACAAGTGGGGTGTTTATGGTGCGCACCCCAGCCCGCCTTGGGTGCTCCCCATTCTTGTTTCGGAATCAGCCACTAGCCCTCCAGGCACTCTAACCACTAAGGGGACCTGTCGGGGCCTCAGGCTCTTCCTGTTCAGCTCGGGACCTGGAGCTGTCTCCCCAGAGTGGCAGACCTGACCCTAAGGCCACCAAGAAGACCCTTAGAGTGTCCGAGATCCAGCGCTCACAGGCAGCTGGCTATTGCCACTTCTTTCTTGCACCCCACACAGAATTTTCCCCAAAATGTTAATGCCCTGGCTTCTCAGCTCTCTACACTCCCCTGGGCCAGTCGTTGATCCAGTTAGGATCTTTGCTTCTGGTGTGCTCACCTGGCTTGCTTTCTCTGCAGCTCCTGTCGGTGAACCCTGGTGAGCCGAAACAAGTTGGGGGGGGGGAGTGGTAAAAGCAACTGGTAACCTTGGCTGAAAGACTGCCCTACCCCTATTTGGAGGTCAGAGCCAGATCCAGGCACCCCCCAGCCCCATCACCCGGGTAGCTTCCAAGCTCATATGCCGCTTCAGGGAAGTGAAAGAAACATTGCTCTTCAGGGTCTTCGGTTTGACCGGAGACAAGACCTTGAGGGGGAAACTTGGAGGAGGGGGCGGCGGATGGACGCCTCCGCCTCAAGCTCTCCCTTTTGCCTTGGCATTCGCACGCTCTCGGAGGTTATGACAGGAACCAGTGTCACCACACTCCTGCCTCTCCGTCTCCTCCCCTCTTCCCCCCTCCCCTCCAAACCCGCGGCTGGGGCAGCCCTCACTCCTGCGGTGTGCGCATTTTAACGAGGCCCGCGGTGAGGAAATCCGTTCCCGGCAAAGCCGGCCTGGGCTCGTGGCCCATTTATAGCAGCGTTCGGAGGCCAGGCCCTTTGCTCAGCAGACTCCAGGGCCTCCTTCGTCCCTGGCCGTAGGGACGCGCTCTTAGTCAACTGGAAACTGCTGGCCCAGGGCGCTAGCCCCGGTGTGGGCCTCATACGTATCTCAGGAAATGATACCTTTTCCGGCCGGAGCCAGTGGAGCCCAGGAGCTCGCTGCCTTGCCCCAGGCCTGTGGGCCACAGCTCTCCAGGATGCCCCAGGCCTGCCCGCCGCACCAGCTCCAGCCCCTGCAGAGGCCTTGACTGGCGCTGCTGATTGCCGGGATCCCCCGAAGCAGAGCGCTCAGGCCTCTGCGTACAGCGGGGAAAGACCCTTGCATCCCGGGTGATGTGCCAGGCACTTGGCCTTGTTCCTTCCATTGTGAACCCAGTCGGAGAAGGAAGCCGAGCCCGAGAAGACCCAGGGAGAGTACCCGGGAAGGCTGGTGGAAGAGCCCTGACGCGGGCTTCTGAGATGCAAGCGGTTGCGGTCTGCGCCTGTTGTGGCTGCTCCCCGCGCAGCGCGGGCCGCCGCACCCCCGCTTCACACTCTGCAGAGCTTGCGCACCACGGCTTGCGCGGCGCCCCAGCCACTTCCACCCGGCTGGCCTGTGCCTCACGGTGACTGGCTCCGCGGACCGAGCGTCTGGGGTAGAGAGGAGGGAGATGGAGAGAGACAGAAGGAGAGAAGGGCTGAGGGAGAGAAAGGAAAGGGGGGGAGAAACGGGGAGAGAGTCTGAGAACCAATTCTCTCCAATCCAACGAGGTCCTGAGGCCGAAGTAGCAGCAGCGGCCGAATCAAGTCTGTGCGGAGAGATCAGGAACTGTCGTCCTTCACTCCCCACCTCCTTCCCGCGAGCAAGGCCAAGGCAAATTCTAACCTGGCTAGGCCCAGAGGCCAACAAACTTGAATAGGGAAGAGCTTCAGAGCAGGGCATCCTAGGACCCCTGTCTGGATGGGCTTGGTCTTTATCCAGCTCTCCAGGAGGGTGGAACGCATTGGGACTGTTGCACTCAGCAGTGCTACTGGGAAATGCCACAGAACTGAGGACTGCCTGAGAAGGGGGCTTTGCCCCAAAGCACTGTGCATGCCAATCAAGAAAGCTCTGCAGACTGTGAAGTAAGGCCCAAGAACAGAAGAGGAGTCCTTGAGGAGAATGAGTCCTGCAGGCCGTTTGGGCCAGGATTTGGTTCCTCTCCACACTAAAAGCAGAAAGCAGCTTTCCCAAGGCTGTAGGTTGGGAATGGAAGAGCCAGTGGCTATAGGAGAGAATGCCTGAGATGGCAGAAGCTAAGAAAATAAAATGAAAGTCAATGATCTAAACCTATCTTTCTTTTTGAAAGTTAAGGCCCCCTTGGAAAAGCTAAGGCCAAGCTCTGATTCTTATCCTGTGAAAAACGCACATCTGGACAGCCCCACAATTTGACCCATCATTTTCAAGGAGTTCACAGACCCCTTACAGCCTTCTCCTTGGGCCCTCCAGAATGTTCCAGTACTCTCAGGAATTCAGCAACCGGGTGCCTGGCTGTAGGCATCTCAGGCTCAGACTGGTCAGCGCCCTGTAGGGTGACCAAATGGGCTTCTAGGCAGGATGGGATCCAAGAACACACAGGTGCAAACCAAGGTGACAAAAGCCAGCTTGGTACTGCATCTGCTTTAAGAAGGCCCCCTTGGCTGCGGACTTAGAGGAGGTAGAAAGCCCGCTGCTGCCTTGCAGACCATGGCATTGGCACTTGGGTCTTCACTGACCTTTGGGAAAGCTGAATGTTTTCCTCCAACCTCGTTTCTCCCCCTTGCAATAAACCAAATGGGATATTGAGTTTGTGCTGTTTCTTGCTTAAAAAAAAAAAAAAAAAAGATGACGATGATGAAGAGTGTGTAAGCCCGGGTAAGAGTTCCTCTCTGGTCCCGGACCGCTGCCCCACCCCCACCGGGGCTGGCCGAGCCGTGAGTGAACCGACAGCCTGCCGCAGGGCCTGGGATGCAGACCTGCCTGCTGCCGCTGGTTCGCAGGAGAAGATATCCATGCAGCAGAAGCTCAAGTTAGATGCTGCTGCCCTTTCAACTGGTCTTGGAGCTCCCAGCATCCCTGACCCCCCCCCCAAGGCTCTGCACTCCCCAGACTGTAACACCGAGGTGTTAACTTCCTCAAAAGAATATTCGGTTTATCGATCACCAGGGCTTTCTCAAGGTTCCCTATCCCCAGAGACTAAGAAAAGTGATTCAGTTGCAGCATGGGTTGGCTCCTGGATACGGTCTTCCCTCTAGCCCCTTTCGGTCTTTCCTTCTCTTCCTTTCACCCTCCCTCCCAGTGGCTGAATTTCTCTGTCCCCCTCAGGATGCCTTTGACCTAAAACTCTCGGTGCATGCTTCCTTCAACCAGGCCTGTGTAGAGGTTATGTGCAGCCCCCAAGGCCCACGTTTTATTTCGGAGTAAATATCATCCATTTCTACCAGGGTAACAACGCTCACCCTCCCCATGGCTATGGAGCCCAAGTAAGGGCCAGGCAAGTGGAATAAGCCCTTTGGCGAGGGTCACGGTGCATTTCACGGATAGCGGATTCCTCCTTCTGAGTAGGCCCTTGCAAACGATGAGAAATAACAAACTGTTACTACCCCAAACCCCCACTTCCTTTTAAAAATACTAGGTACAGAGATGGGGATAGCCAGTAAACAGTTTGTATCTGGAAGTCGTTCTCAGTGTTTTCCAGGCTCAGAATCATCTGACCGGTTGTGGAGTTGGGCTGTGGCCCCACAGAAGGAAAATAAACGCTCCTTTCATATATCCACTTTAACAAAAATTCTGGACTTCTCTGATTCTCACACTTACCGTGTGGTTAGAAAATTTTTTGTAAGCCATGACGTTCTTTCTCGTTCATCTTTAAGAATGTCAACATTTCCAAGGAAATTTGTTGTGTCTGTTTTGAATTAATCAGGTGCAATCTATCCCTAAACAACCTGCTTTAAATTTTTCTCTAAATCCAACCACTAAACTGTCCCTTCTCTCCTCATGGGGGAGTGTTGGGGTCTTTTCACACACTCCCCAAATTACAATATGCTTAATTTTGTCCATAATAAACTGCCTCTGGCTTTGAAACCAGAGGTGGCTCTGGGATTTTAGGGAAGGCTCAGGCTGCAGAAAGCATGGTGTGGGTGCCCACTCGGTGTAGTTCCTGTGGTTGCCTTATTTTGGCAGAGTTTGGGAGCCCACGCTCAACAAAGACTAGTGACTTTTGATAGGCAAGATTTACACACACACACACACACACACACACACACGCACACACGGAACTCCTATTTTCTCTGAGATTCCCTCCCCCCGTTCACCCATGCACTATATATTTGTGAAAATAGCAATTTCAAGAAACTAATGAAAACATATTGGAATAAAAACTTAAATATAACAAAAGAGGAAATTTGAATCTAGCCTCTGAAACCTTAAGTGAAATGAGTATTTAAAACTTGTTTTGTGACAACCCTGATGGAGAGATTGTGACCAGAGTTTATCCTCGGTGCTAGCTTTTGAAAATGTATAGGTATATACCAATACAATTTTCACATATTTGCAAAATATCTCATATTTACATCTAAGAAATCACTGCAAAACCCCAGCTAGGTTTATAGCAGTGCATCCCAAATAAGCAAATACAGCTTCTCTGGAAGCCTCAGAAATCATATGCGACTTTTTGGAATTGGCCTTTTTCAGAACAAAGGTTTCCCCAGGTTGCTGGGCAGACCTAGAGACTGCACCTAGTAGAAAACCAGAGCCCTCCCGGATGTCTGCCCCAGGGAGTAAGCCGGCCTCAGCGGAGTAAGCCGGCCTCAGCGGCCACGGTTGCTCACCACCTCATTGTTTAGAGTAGAAACTTTGTTTTCCCCAGTACCGCCATCTCTCTCACTCTCTTTTCCCTTCTCTCTCTCTCTCTTTCTCTTTTTGTTGCCACCACAACCCCCACCCCGGCACTGCCAGAACCCCTTCACTTGGATGCCCCCCCCTCCCTGACTCATCCCATTCTGAATATTTCTACAAAATTGAAAGATCGCCTTGGGTGCATTGCTGGCGCAAGGAGCTAAAATCGTCAACTTTTCCACTTAGGCCTCCCTCTGCTTTCCAACCTTAGGGAGCGATAGGAGAAAGGAGGGGGTGGGCTGAGCGCCTATAGCGTCACCCGGAGCTCACAAACCCAGCCACTTATCCCAGTCCTGCTCTGACATGGGCCACCTCCCCACTCCCGACTCAGACAGACTGAAATTGCTAAACTTGTGGCCTCTTACCTTGACACATTTCCGAAATCACTGCCAAGGGACAGCAAGCCGACTTCTCCGCGGCGCGACGCCTGCGAGGCCTAGAGAAGGCGCGTTGCTTTAAATTACAACACCGATTACTTCTTGAAGGTGAGCCCCCCCCCTTATTTTGATACTAAGGGGATCGGGACAAGTGAAATAATGTAACGTGCTGCTCTTAGTATCAGAAGCGAACAAAGGCCAAGAATCGCGCTGGGGTTCCCGGCTCCCCGGTGGCTTTGACATTGATCGGACGTGCGCCATCTCGTGGCGGCTGAGTGACTAGGCCCGGCCCGAACTTCAGCCCCGAGCCGGGAGAGGGAAGCAGGCTCTAGGCATAGACAGAGGGAAAGAATGTGCCCAGCTCGCTGCTAAACAGATCTCATTTTTACATCTAAGAAATTGCTGCAAAACCCCAGCCGGGTTTATAGTGGCGCATTCCAAATATGCAAATTGGCCGGCCCCGGACGGGTTTACGACCACATTGTCACAGCCATCGGAGGATGGGCTTTTATAGGGCTCAGAAATCAAACCCGCTCCCGCTCGCCGCCCGCCGGCGAACAGTCCTCCTGGCTAGACTCTCTCGAGCAACTTGCAAGACTTTGGTTAATCTTTAACCGTCCCAAAGGAAGTCTTTCCTTAAACCCTCGGCTTCCCTGCCCACCCCTCCCTGCCCCCCAGGAGAGTCGTTGTTCACCTCCGTGTGTCTGTTCATCAACCTAGACATTCATCTAGGGGGGTCTGTCCCATTCCCCTTTGAGCTCGATTTCCCCAGTCGTGCCAGTTAGACAAACACACAAACAAATAAACAAAGCAGGGTCTGAGGTCTGGGGCCTCTCTCCAAATTCGATCTTCGCTGCAACTCTGGCCCTGCCTGGGTGGCTGGGGAGAGGGTGGGGGTAGAGGTGGGGGTGGGCAACAAAAGGCTCTGGCCTTTCCACCCTGCCCCTCAAGGTTATGGGTGATGTCCAAATTTAAGGCAGAAGTTCAAAGGCAGGAAACAAAGAGTAAACAGGCATCTTTCTTTCCCCAAAGGGAAAAGGCAACCTCAGCTGGGAGCTTGGGATAAAGTGTCCATAGAGGCTCCTGAGAGTCTGCTCTTTGTACCCAGACTGGTCTCTGTCTTCCTAAGGGGATCCCCAGAGCACCCTAGAGTGGTTCCACTTCAGGCCTCCTAATCCTGAGGTGAGCAAGCCCAGCCTGGGATCAAACTCATTGACCACCTCAAGCCCCAGGGCTTTCTCCCAGGCCTCTCTCCAGTCTGAAAGGATGAAACCCCCAATTCCAGGTCCTGAAATACCCCATTCATGGGACCCCCACTTCTGCAAAAGACCTGGCCAGTCACCTTGGCTTCCCAAGCTTGGTTTCTAGTGGAATTAAAATCCTGACTAAGACACCTCGCCACCCCCTCCGGGGCCTGGTAACTTGCCCCCTGGGGAGAGTGATGGGGGGGGGCAGGCATTTGGCAGTAAAAGGCAAACAGGAAGAGGAAAGTCACACCAGAACCCAGTACTCAAGTTTCCAGTCTTTATTTTCCTTGTGCCCTGTCGCCTGTGTACATGCTGCGACATACGTGGTGGGTGAGAACGGAGGACAGGCCAACACTCCCGTTACAAACAGAGTCACCAGACACTTCTTAAAACAGGGAGGCAGAGGAGATTCAATGGGAGGGTGCCTGGCTTTCTCAGCTGAGGTCTTCAGACCCTGGAGGGCCAAACTACTTCAGAACATCCCCCTAATGTTTTCCAGACATTGCAAGAAATTAAAAAGATCATTCCTAACACCCTTCCCGCCCCTCCAACACCCCAAGGAAATCAACTAATGGCAAAATTTAGAAAGTATTCAAACAAAATAGGTTGTGGTTCTTTTATTTACAAGTCTTTCGAACACCATCCCTGTATGAAGCGTACATTCAAATATTCTTTAGCAGTGAGTGAGTTTAACCGTGGAACACTGTAAACAGATAGAGACTTTAAATATTCTCTTCATCATCTTTTTCCCTCTTTACGTTGCATCTTTTTAAAATTCGCTTTGGTTCCTGCAGGGAAATATATATAATATAATATAATATTTATTTTTTTAAAATAATTCCAAACACTCTTGAGTTCTTGGAAGGTTGCCGGAAGCTTCCAAGCTCAATTCTGGGGCGCAAAGGGCAGAGTGCGGTGCCAGACTGGGTGTTTTGGGGACTCAAGCCCCTCATAGCTGGGGACCGCTGGCCAGGCCCACTGTTCTGCTGAGCAAACCCAAGCTTCAGTTAAGTGTGGTGGAGACTTAGCTAGGCTGCCGCACTCCACAGGCATTTCCTGCAAAGATCTTGGGGCTAGCGGGAAAGGTCTGCTTCGCGACCAGGCTTTAGGCCTGAGTGGCAGTCCAGGAAGAAGGCCCTCATCAGTAGGAAAAATCAGGTGGACTGCAGGAGGCGATTGCTAGAAGCTCCGGCCTCGGACAGTGTGGTGAGTGGCTAGGAGGGGTGGAGAGCCCCTAATGCCACCTGGAATTGATTTTTTTCCCCCTCAAGGATCAGCAGCCCTCTCCCACCTCATAGCCACCTCTTAGTCCAGCCGTCTTTCACACTGGCTTTGGAAAGCAGCCCCACTCCAGACATCTAGGAATCCTCCCCCCTTCCTCCTGCTCCTGTCCCCAAGCTGAACTGGGTTTAAAGATTGAATAGCTTCTTGGCGCAGGGGTCCTGGGGATGGGCAGGCTCCATGTGGAGGGTCCTGGGCCCAGGTCGGTCTCCAGGGCGCTTGGCAGGAGGCCCAGTCTTGATGGAGACCACACCCAGCCCAAAGCTCCACAGTCTCCAAGAATGAACCACCAGGGGTCCCAAACCCTTCATTCTAGTTGATGCACAACTCTCCAAATCCAATTTTTGTTAGGAATCTTAACCGCAGATGCCCAAGAGAGTCCCGGGCCACCTTCTTAGAGGCTGTCTCCGTGTAGCCTCCCCTCTTTTGCACATCTCTTTTCTTCAAAAGTCACCACGTGCCTTGACCTTGTCAAGGGCAAAATCTGCATATAATCTCACGTGTATGAAGCCCCCCACCCAATTCCAGCTGGCTGGAGCCTTAGAGGAGCGGGTTGGCCGAGTAGTACTGTAAACGGTCTCTGTTAATTTTTTTTTCCTTCATTCTCCTGTTCTGAAACCAGATTTTGACTTGACGGTCAGTGAGGTTGAGCATTCGAGACAACTGCAGGCGCTTCTCTTTGTTGATGTACACACTGAAGAAGAACTCCCGCTCCAACTCCCGGATCTGGTACTTGGTGTAGGGGCAACGCTTTTTTCTGGTGCGTTGGCCACCTGTGGAGGGAGAAAGAAGCAGGGAGTGAGCCAGGTGTGGGGGCTGCAATCCATCCCAGAACCCCAGTGGAGGAAAAGGGCTGGCCCATGGGACTGGAGGCCCTGTCCTAGCCCCATCAAGGTTTCCTCAGTCCCCTGCCTTCAGGCTCCTACTGCCCGCTGGGGACAGGCTGCAGGCGGAGACTCAGCCCCAGATAAAAGCCAGCTCCCTAGATAGGCCCCCAGGGAAGCTGCTCACGCTGCCCCCCAGAGCAGAAAGGAGGGCTCCTTCAGCAACAGGCGGGCGGGCTGGGGCCGCAGAAGCGGCTTTTAAAGCCGCCGAGAGGGGGTCGCCGCTGCCTCCAGCCCGGCCAGACTAAACAAACAGCCGCCCGCGGACATTTCACCTTCCAGCACCTGGGCGGCCGGTTCCCGGTTCCCGAGGCAGTAAAGTCGACCCCAGTCCCAGCCTTTCCCGGCTGCGACCGTGACTCGGCCCTCGTTAGCATCTGCGGCCGCTGCCGGGTCTTTGTCAGCCTGAGTCCTGGCCACCAGCTCCTGCCTCCTTGACCAGCCTCCTGGCTTCCGCGAGCTGAGGAGGTGGCAGCGGAAGCCCCCTACCACGGGCCTTCCCTGAGCACCAAGGCCACACAGCCATCCTGCCCCCCCTCCCCCCGCTGGCCAGGGGTGCTGTTTTAGATAGCGTGGAGGGAAGAGGGGTTTCCTAAAGCTACGGGCAGGTTCGACTTGCCCCCTTTTCAATAAAACTTCACAGGACGGAGAGGAAAAAAAAAACCCGCTTTTGACAGAATGAATAACAATTGTGAGTAACATGCAGTGGGACAGAAGGCGGCACGTAATTGCGACCGCGCCAGAGGAAAATGGCTTCCTTTGGATAAAAAGGCCAACTTTGGCTTAATTTGTTTCTTTTAATATATTGCTCGAGCTAAGCGGGCTATTTTATCTGTTAAACACGCTCCTAGCGCCATCGTTAAACAGCGACGCCTTTGAATCCCGGCCGTGACTGGAGTCCCGGCGCAACACATGGCTTTTATAAAAATCTCCGGATTACCTCGCTATCAAAGGCTCCCGGAGCCCTTGCAGGGGGAATTTACAGGCGCCCACCTCCGGCTCCCCAGCCCGAGCTGGCCCCGAGCGGGGTCGAGCTGCTGGGCTTGGGACTGAGAAGGGAAAAAAGGGAAAAAGGGAGTTGTGTGTGTGGTTTTTTTTTTTTTTTTTTTTTTTTTTTTTTTTTTTTTTTTTTTTGCAGGCATGCCTTGGCCGGTGGGTATTTCACGGCCAATTTCAGCACTCGCCACGTGATCCCGCCTTTTATAACAAAGTTTTGTTGGGGGAAACCTAAAGGCCCTTCATAAACCTTATATGCTTATAAAACAGCATATAAAAATTTAACAGCGGTGCTGCGCTAGATTTCCAACTCCCCTTTCATAAAGCGCAGGGCGCTGCCTTTATACGTACTGGAGCCGCCGGCCTTGTCCTCAGTGTGGCCGGAAGACGACTCAGGGCTGCTGCTGCTCTCAGGGCGCCGTCGCCGCTCCTTCTCCTCCGCCGCCGCCGCCGCCGCCTCCCGGCAGCCGCCGCCGCCACCGTCCGAACTTGAAGTTGCGGGCGTGCCCGTGCCCGTGGCCGCTGCCGCCGCCGCCGCCGCCGCCGCCGCGGAGGTCGCTGCGGCCGCTGGGGGCCCCTTCTCAGCGCTCTTGTCCCCGGGGTAGTCGGAGGAGGCGAGGTTTTCCGGGGTGCCGTAGGCCGTCTCGAAAAACTGGTCGAAAGCCTGTGGCAGGACGCCGTTCCTGCCCACGGTGCTATAGAAATTGGACGAGACGGCGGGGGTGGGGTGGTGGTAGACGTTGGCCGAGCTCTTGGCCAGCACGTCGCCAGGCACGCCGGCCGCGCTGGGCGCCTGCAGGCAGTCTCTGTGCACGAGCTCCTCCGCGGAGTAGCAGTGAGCCAGATTGCCGCGGGGGTGCCATTTAGTGGCGGGCTCAATGGCGTACTCTCTGAAGGTCACTTCGCGTACGGGTTGGACCTGGGGCAGGTTGGAAGAGTAGGAGTATGTCATTGGGCGCGAAGACGGGGTCTGGGGCAGAAAAGAAGGGAGGCTGGAGAAATCTGGACCCGAGACGTAGTAAGTACAACTTGGCAAATACATGTTAGAGGAGCAGGGACCACGCTCATCAAAATCCATCATTGGGCTACGTTGGGCTCTCCGCAGTAGCCGAGCTTAACATGATTCTCCACTGCAGCTGCCTCTTTGAAGCGGATCCGTGAAGTAGAAATTTGGAGACGTAAGCTGACGTGGAAATCTATCCCCATCCTTAGCAGGGAGGTGCTGGTCATGTGACCCGATGTTGAAATTGACAAGCTGCAAGCTGTTCTGGGCCTTTTTTTTTTCTCCTTTCCTTCCCCCCCCCCCCCCCCCCCCCCCGGCTTCCTTTCTTTGTAGCCACCTCAGGGGAAGCAACAGATCGTCACTCGGTGTTCTCACCGAAAGCACGTAATCGCCGGTGTAACTCATGTTGGCTGGGGGGCCTCCCGGCGCGCGGCGAGGCTGAGGTGCGCCCCATGCCACTCGCTTGTGCTCAGCGGCACGGTCCTGGCCCTCAAGTGCGCCGAGGGCGGTGAGAGAGCTCAACTCCTGCCACCCATCACTCCCCGGGTGAGGGATGCCCCAGACTGGGGGTGGCCGGGTGGGAGCTCGTCGCTGCGTGGCCGGTGCGCGGTCCTGGAATCTATTCTCCTGGAGGCTCGCGTTCGCACCTCCTTCGCTATCCCCCTCCCACAGGCTTGCTCTGGGAACCACCTCTGTCTCCGACTCTGGCCGGACCCCTTCGGGGCCAGGGTTCGCAGCCGTGGATGTGCCTGCCTCGTGGCTTGCCCGATTTGCACGGTGACTTGATTACACGCTCGCATTCATGGTCACTTCCGAAGCGCTTTAGTGCCTTCCGTCCCTAAACCGCCAACAACCAGGGCGGCTTCCCCCGCGGTTTGTCAGGCATCTGCAGGTCCCGGAAGGGCCTTCGTCTTACCCGGGATCCACCTCCACTTCATCCTCCCCGCCGGCCTCCTCACTCCACCCCTTGCCCTTGAAGAAACCCCTTCCTCCTCGCTGCCTGCCGGGGGTCGGAGTCACTCGGCGGAGCCAGACGCGTGGGGGCTGCGCCACTGTGCACGCCCGCCTGGTCTTCTGGAGCTGAGGACTCGGGAAACCACGCAGTTGAGGCGAGCCTTGGGCTGCTTAGAGGCGCTGACATCCGAGGAGCCCTTCCTGGGTATGCTGCACCTTCCGGGGGCCCACCAGGCTGCCCGCAGAGCTGCAGAGCTGAAGGAGAGTGAGGGCAGTCAGGAGGAAGGAGACGAGGGCCAGGGAGCTGTGGCTGAGAAAGGGGTAACACGCCTCCTCTCCTTCCTTGCAAAGCGTGAGAGCCAGTGATGTGCAAGCAGAAAGAAACTCAGAAGGCTCGGCGCCTTTTCTGCTACGCATCCCACAGAAGGAACACAATGCTAAAGAAAAGAGCCATGCTTCCCAAACTCCTGGCACCGTGGGTGACGAGAACGCCCTGAAAAGGCTAGGTTTGAGCCAAAGACAGAAGCAGGGGTCATAGCTGCTAGTAGGAGTCTAGCTTTCTTGGGAAAAGGAAAGAAAAAAATTACGAGGGTGAAAAGTGCTTGCCATCCTGCAGGACTGAATGATCAACGTTGGGGAGAAGTGAAAGAAGAGTGCATAGAGCAACTAGGCAGGACCGGGGACTGGGGGCGGGGGGCGACCCAGAGGCCTCCCCACACCTATCTTCTTGGAAGGAGCTGGATGTCGCTGAAGGAAAGTCGGAAAATGAAAAAGGATAACCTTTTCCCTTTCCCCATCCAGGAAATAGCTGAAGGTATTTATATATCTTGGGGAGATTTAGAGTATAAACTCTAAGATCTTTGGTATTTAAGTGTCAACATCGATTTATTTATTTATTGCTGAGCTGACTGTAACTGACTCAATAACAAATCTAATCATGTATTGCACTGGAAAAGAACTATTCTCATTATGTATTTTCTCCAAATGATGGCCCACCATTGTGTTTGAATACCTGCTGTAAATATCAATAATATCAAGTAATTACTCTGCAGTGGAGTAAACTAATTTATTAGCATTAATGTTTATGTGTCTCCTACCCCCTTCCTTTACAAGGGTTGCTTATCACAAATCAAACTACTCGAGCACATTGGTTTAATGAACTTTTTATTCAGGATTTGCTTCAAGAACTTTCATACCCCTCGAATCCCTGAGAGTTGAACTTGAAATTATTTGTGCATCTTCAGCTTGACCTATTTGTCCACCGTGGCTTGTGCAGAGGGCATCAGCGGTGTGGGTGAGAAGGACTGGTGGGAAGGAAGGCTGCTGGGGAAGGGCAGCCTGAGACCTCCTAAAGCTGGGAATCACAGTTATGGGATTGCCCTGCAGCGAAAAAACTTCGATTTCCAGCAGTGACCAACAAGGCAAAATATTTATTTCTCCACAGCATCTCTTTCTTGGAGACAGAATATAAAAGGGAGAAGGAGAGGTTTGCGAACAGTAGTATCTGAGCTGTTTCCTGGCTTGATTTTGGCTCTCCCAAACTATCTCCGGGCAGCCCACCCAGTCCCCGCCACCCCGACCCTCGAACAAAAGGAATGCTTGAGGGGTTTCAGTGACTTTGCCATAACAAAGGCGCCACCATTTCGGGGCTTGCCCCGCCCCTGGGTGAAGGCAAACAAATTCTTGCACTTGTATTAGGGCTTTTAAGACTATAATTGAACCCGGGGGCGTCTAGGAGAACCGAAAACAGTTCTAGACAGACCTGGGGTTTTATAGCAGTTTTGGCAGTCAACTTCAGCTTGTGCCTGAGCAGACCGGCTGCGGTGGCCCGCCCGCGGGGGACGCCAGGCTGCCTCCCCCAGCTGCACGCAGCCCCTCTCCTAATTAGATCGGTTTCCCCCTAGGTGCCAGGGAGAGGGGGTCCCAGCAGAAAGGTCAGTATGGGGGTATATGCTGTTCTGCATGATCAATGCCTCCCATGTCCTTGAAAGCCAAGCCGAGGGGGTGCCAGCAAGACTGGATCCCATGGGTGTCTGCAGGAGACAAAGACAAATTTCTGAGGAAAGGCTAGGGTGGAGGAAGTCTGTCCCAAAGCGATCAGCAGGGTAGTTCAGAAGGCTGTACCAATGCGGGGTGCCAGGAGGGGCACGCAGCCTGGAAGAGGGTGTGTGGGGGGGTGCTGCGGTGAAGATGGATGAAGGGAAAGGCTTTTGATGGCAGGAGAAGAGAAAACGCCTGGAGTGGCTAATGCTTTCCTTCCCCCAGCAGAGACAGGAGGGGGTGCTCCCATCCCCAAGGCTTTGCACTGTTCCCAGCTTTGTCCGCTCCTGGCCCTCTTGCCCGGAATACACTGGCAGAGTGAAGGTTTGCATGGGGGGTGTGTAGTTGGGGGTGGTCACAGATCTGAGGATCAGATCAAATCTGGGGAAGCTGGGGAGGCAGAACTGCAGCTCCTGGGTTTTGACTTTGCTCTGAGCCTAACTGACTCTTCCGCTTTGCAGGAGGCCCAGCAGCTGAAGGGAGCCCGCCCGGCTCAGGGGAAGACCTGACGGGTGCTAAGGCCGCCCTGGAAAGCCACGTCCGAGTTGTATTTCTTGAAGAGATTGTGTGGGCAAGGCTAGGACATTGGCCTTGGCGGCTGGTTGCCTGTGAACTGTCCTTTCTCAGGAGCTCCACGGCACGGGGCCATCTCCAGAAAACAGTATCCAGCATGTCTTTCCTTTTATCCTCAACCCAGAACCCCACGGCAGCTAATGCAAAAGGCCAAAAATGTTCTGGAGGAAGAAAAACAAAGGCAGGAAGTGGCGGCGGCCTGACGGTGCGTGTGTGTCTGTGGAGAAGGGAGGGAGCCTTTCAATCTCTTCTTGTTGTTTTTCCAAACTTCAAGGTCTAGGCAGCCCTTGCAGGGCCAGGCCCTTTCACTCCCCAAGCAGTGTTTGGAGATGGCCACCCGGAGAGAAGGATGGCTCCCGAGCCCGCCCTGTCAAGCGGAAACGGCTAACGAGGCGATTTGCTCAGCAAAGCAGACCAAGCCTTTGCAAGGCTCTGTTTGATTTGGCCCTAAATGGGGGAGGAGGGAGTTTGAGGGGTTCGGCAGTACCTCCTGGATCCTCCTTGCTGGGGCTGAGTGGGCCCTGGTGGGGATGATTCCTGTGTCCTGTGCTCCACCCACCTTCCCGGGCAAGATACTGGAATAAATTGCGTCCAGGTGCCTCTGCCCAGTACTGCCGCCTCTACTTCTTTCGGTAGCCGAAGGGTGCCTGCTGGCGGTGCCCAGGCGGGGTAGCCTTGGTGCAGTCAGTGCACGCCAGGGCAACGTGAGGCTTTTCCACCGGGGGTTGTCATGCTGGGGGCGTTTCCAGCGCAGTCATTTGAGGGGCATGAGCTGAAAGGACTGTCACTTGATAGGCAGCTTAACACCTGCTCACTCTAAGGGAGAAACAGAGCAGTGGGCAGGGAGTAACTCCAGACTCTGGGTTCCAAACCCCATGTGGCACCGCTGCTGGGCTGCTCTCTTTTCTCCTTGGTGCCAGCTTGGGCACTGGGACCGGCTCATTGACCCCCAAATCTGAGAATCTGAAGTCCCCAATGCCTGCACTTGCAGCCTCTTGACTGTTGCGCATGTAGTCAATAGTGTGAATGCCAACACCAGGCTGCGCGCTCACCGCATTCCCTCCTTAGCTGATCCTGTCTCCCTGCAGCCCCTGCTCACCTGTCTCCCCGTCCTCCTCTTTCCAGCAGTCTCCCCTTCTGCAGCCTCCTGCCTTTTCTGATACCCCTCCTAGGCTGAGCAAGAACTGAGGGCACCCAGTCCTCAAGCACAGAGAAAGAGGACTGTTAGGTTCCTGGACCGCCCCCCCCCCCCACCGCCCCGGCCAGTTTAGGCCTCCACCAGGAACTCCGTCTCTTACCTCATTCTTCTGAACACTCCATCCCAAGGCTCTACCATGTCCTTTTTCTCTCTCTCCCTCTCTCTCCAATACTCCCTTCTTCTCTTCTTGGGACCTAGCTCCTGGATGGCAGCCAGCCTGGGAGGGGTCAGACTCACTGGACAAACCAAAACTCACTTGCAAAAATCTATAGTCTTTTATCTATGGATCACTTAGGGCACCGATTTTTTTTTT